ACAAAGAGGGATCGCCGGAGAAAATAGTTGCCCGTAGTATAGGAGCGTCTAATCCCGGATGAGAGAGACAACGGCGGATGTGCGACGGCGATGACGAGGAGGTGGAAGCGGGAGGCGGCGCAGACACATCTCTCGGATTACGTCTTAACAAGCTCCACGACGTTCATTTGTCTTATCCGCTGCCGCTAATGCGACGCGCAGCTGTTGAAATGATTAATTCGGCGCGAGGACGTCCTCATTCCTTTCCGTTCTGCTCCGCTCCGCTCCGATCCATTCTGCTGCATGTTGCACCGCCCGCGAGAATCCCGCGTTCGACGTTTTGTTTTGTCGAAGACGTGTCGCGGTTAATCAGCGCATTGCGGTTAATTACCGTTGCTGCGAAATACAAAGCCTGAACGAATAGCATCTCGTTCAGCACGTATAAACATAATTCGGAGAGTGAGAACGAAGGGAAGAGAGGAAGAGAGGAAAACGAGGTTGAAGATCTTAATAGAGTTTAAATGCTAACTGGAAACGCGGCTCTGTCGTGTATAAAATCTTCTCGATAATCTACGTTAGGGAGCGTCGATGGAGAATTGTTCCTACATTCATTATATTATTATTACACAATCCTCAAATATCAAAGTGATTAAGAAAAAATAGAAACAAGGAACTTAGTAAAAAAAGAGAGAGGGAGAGAGACAATGATAGGGAAGGTAATTAGGATAGGATAACATAAACAGATAAATGATAGAAAAAAAGCGATAATGTATTTACATATAAAAAGAATTGTATGTACTGGATATTATGGCTGTGGTAATATATTTAAGACATAAATATATGTATAGAATGCAAGAAACAATTAATTTTACGTCGAAAAGCATGTGAGAGAGGCATGGATGGATTAGTGAGACAGAAACAATATTTGTAAACTAAATCCACGTTAATCGATGATACGCTTCAAAAAAAAACGAAGACATTCTGGCATGTGTTTCGAAAATATTAAGACATTACATAGGAAAACACAGTTCAAAAAGCAAATAAACATTTTATTTATTTACTTCGTTAATTACCTTACATTTACGACTGTGATTGGCTGAGTCGCTTACTGTTTACGTCTTACTGATTATTTCTTTTATATTCCACTAGCTTAATCGATTCAATTTTAATCTTAAACGTTCGCAATGTTCGATAGCAATCACATAAACGTGAATGGATTCAAAGCGCGAGTGTATCCTACCACACGATCGCTCATTCGTGGGAGAAACCCTACGTTTACACCACGTTCGCACTCTGTCCAAACAGCCAGACAGAGACGCGAGCGCGCGCGATCTGATTGAATTAATTTTCAATTTGTGAGGGCCACCTGTCGTCGACAGCAACGACGAGTGACGACGTGCGGATCGTCGATCGCGTCTGCCGTTCGATGACTAATCCGCGAGAATGAGACCCAGCACACCGTGACTCCTAGTAATCCTAGCACCCGCTGCGCGGGTGCCTCCGGTTACGATCGCAATGAAAACGGACAAAGAAGCAGAGCGGTGCAACAATTGCGCTTCGTCGCGCGGATATAGAGTTACAGGCGGGCGCGAGCGGAGAAAATGAGCGGCGCATATTAAGCTGGTCACGGCAAAATGGCCGACGTGGACGGAGGGATAAAAAAAAAAGAAAATGGGGACTCATTCGTCTCTCTTTCTCTCGCATCGAGCATCGAACGAAACACTCGACGCTTCCATACATAAATACACGTACACGCAAACGCACGTCGCCGCCGTCGCCGGTCGCGTCGACGTGACGCGGGACGCGGGTCGAAATTCCGCCGCGCCGGCGACGCATGCGTCACGCACGCCGATCGAAAGCCCCGCCCGGCGACAGTCTTTGTTTAATCCATGTGATATCTACGCCCACGATAGCAGTGGCGTACTTGGAGATCCTATTCTATAAATCTCGCGAGAGAGTGCCTATTAAAACATTGTTTTAAGTGATATATATAGTTAACTATAGAGAATATCAGAGTAATTATTTCAAATTGTGTGTTATAAATTCTTTGGCATAGATATGGGTTATTCGTTCATAGAATCGTTTGATGGAATCGTTCTCGTTTCTCAACAATTAGAAATTATTTACAAATCAACTCTGAAATTATTTCTTACGTTACATAAATCGTACAATCAAAGCAGACATTCTATGATCTTTAGAAATATTCGAGGAAAAATGAATGTAATTTTATAAAATAAGCAAGAGAGAAGCGAAACAATAATATCCTTAATCAATGACTTCATTTTATATAAAAATTTATATTTAAAATAGAGATTATTAATTCATTATTTCTTGAATCCTAATGTTGAATAGAATTATGATGACATCATAGAAGTTCATCGTAACTTAATTCACTTGTCAATTATAAGTGAACTTTAAATGACAGATAAGATTGTGATGATATTCTAATGATATATAACTTCTGTGTTTTACTTGAGAGATACAATATAATAATGAATATATACGTATTCATGTTTCAATAATACGTTCGCATTATAGATGTCGAAACATATATGCATTTATTCCACGTATACTGCAATAAGCTTAAGTTTATACATCAATATGTTAATGATCTCATGTGTCCCCAGGAAAATACAACTGCAAGGGAATGTTCATGTAACTGGTAGCGTGGCCGAGCGGTCTAAGGCGCTGGTTTAAGGCACCAGTCTCTTCGGAGGCGTGGGTTCGAATCCCACCGCTGCCAATTTTTTTGCGCATTTATTTCGAAAATTTTTGTACGTGGGAAGAAACATTGTCTTTATTATGACATAAAGTTAAAAAAAAATTAAATTATGAGTTATTGTAATTTATGATTATTTATCGTCGATAAATAATCGTGCCACTTATCGGCGTCTAACCGCATCGATAAAACAGAGCTAATACATGCAAATCAATTTAAATTTATCAATCAATTTAAATAGAGCGCGTTTCACTTAACATTTGTAACGCTCCCCTGCATCATTTTATCCTTATTTAACATTTGATAACAAAATGATGCTCACGTTAACGTATCCATAGTTAACATATAGATTATGCGATATCTTATTTTTTTCTACGTAAAAAATTGTATCGGTGCTATGTCGATAGACAGGAAGATAAAATACAAACGTAGCGATTTGAATTTAAGATAAACGTTTCGCGGAAGTTCCGCTGATTATTTAAGCCTATTCTACAATGTACTTTTTGTTGCCTGTTTCTTGTTTTTTACCTTTTGCTTTTAATTTCTTTGCAATCGTTTTATCGATAATTGTATTTCTTGCTATGTATTTCTTTTGAAGTTCGTTAACTCTTACCTCAGGCGATATAAGACAAAAAACCGAATAAAAAGCAAAAAGACAAGATTTAAAAAATAGCAAAAAGCAAGAAACTAAAGGAAACAAAAAGCACATTGTAGAACAGGCTTTAGTTCTCAAATGTATGATAGTGCGATTACGCACTGTGTCGTGACACACACTCGTACTTCGAAAACAGATAAGTATTGTCACGCTACCGTACACATTACATCGAGGTAGAACGAAATAAAGATGAGGCATTGCGAATACAAGTCCACAGTTCAACAGCAATCAGTTCTGACTCCAAAGCTCATTTCTCTTTCCTTGTAAAAAGGTAGTTAAGAGAGAACTAAGATGAAATGAAGGCGAGAAAATAATTTGGAATTAAAAATGACGAAGTTTCTAAGATTTTTTAAAATTGTTTGTATATATCACATAGTACGAGTCTGATTTTTAACTTGAATCATTATTCTTATTATCATACCTTCCGATTTATAATAACAAATATCTTCGTAAAATTATTGATTCATACTTTTCTCCGTGTACAAACAGAAAATATTTCGAGAGATATAAGAGAAAATATTGTGAGATAATTTTAAGAAAAGAACTTAGAAAATGACAATAGAAAATGAGAAAGATCGTATGCTTTATTTTTTTTTATCAAAGTTAAATTTTTAATATGTCATAGAAGAGTCTCGCTTTGCTCGCTTCCGTCTCGTCGTTATAGAAAAACTCTTTGAATAAAGATAATTTGTTGTAATTTAATAACTTTTTTTCTCCTTGTTCGTTTTTCTATATTCTTCTCTCGCCCGAAATCGAGCTGCAGAATATCGTGAAATCGAACACCAGAGAGAGAGTAAATTTTATGCGAAGAAAAATCGAGTTCAAAAATCTTGGAATTTTGTCACCAGACAGATAACTTTTGGATATACCTTTCCATCGAGGAGATCCGATAAAGAGATACCTATTGTCGCCTTGTTCCTTGGCCTCTGAGTTCGTAACGCACAAAAAGTCTAATCAGTGATATCCTCTCCACAGTCCTCTTCACCTCGTGAAACGACCTTATATATCGGATGTCTCGTTGACGAGCTTCGCGAGGCGCCAAATACCTATCTAAGGAACATTATTGCATCACTCGACGAGAAACGTGTGTACAAAAGTCAACTCATGATCGGAAAGTTGTTAATACGAGACAGCACGCTATCAGTAATTAATATATATCGTGTCTTTCAAGTGTGATCGTTAGTTTATCATCTGTATATTATATCAGAGATATTGGTCGAAATAGAAATCAGTGCTTAATAAACGTTTTGCAATTGGGGGATTATATTTTTAAATCTTGCATTAGGAAAAGTCTTATCTCAGCAAAGAACTTCCAACAGTTGCAAAATATTCTGCTGAATACGGCCTTGTTTTATAATTACAAGTGCTGGTAAAACCGAAAGCGATCGTCTCGGAACCGAAAATTATACACCGTTCGATGATCGCAATTCCATACTGAAAGATTCTGATAATCGTACTCTAGTTCATGCGCACCTGTGAAAGCACACTCGTCCTCTACTAGAATAGAATACAATTGGCGACTATTCGTCAAGTGTGGCTAGAACGTAATCTCACACTCTGTTTAGCCCGCGTGACAACGTACACGTGTCTGCTGCCTGCGATTTCTGCGTGGCTGATTGTACGAAGAGAAGATTTCGAGTAGCGTGAGGAGCAAGCAATTGTCGTCGCTGTAGGTCCTCCGAGATTATTTCTATGGTCGGGGATGGCAAGATCGTGCGTGTCTCAACGCGCGAAACGATCGAGTTACATATCTTGGCCTTTGCCTACGGTCTATGCCTGGTAGTTCGACGGTTTCTCAAATGGATATGGGATCCCAAGAAGTTCTTCATGTTGCGTCAACGAGACCAACCTCCATCATGTTTAGTCGATAACAGCCTCGCCATGCATTCCTACGTGAAAATCAAGGTGAGTAATGCACAGTGATGCCTGGATGGCATCAACACATGCAAAAAACTTGTTCAGATGTTCAAATGCTCCTCCTGCAGGTATTATTCTTATTTAACATTCAGTGAACAAAAATAAAATGATACTTGGTAGCACTCAAGAGGAAATCTGAACATAGATAAGAACATAGATCAAGATAAGAAAGGTACATCTTCTGCATCTCTTGATAACGCTCCCAGTAATAACACAGTGATGGGTTTGAAAGATTTCGCTCTTTTATTTCTTTATGATTCCAAGATCATTTCTGGAAGAATACTTAGTAAAAATATCAGAAAATTATAATGATATAATTTTCTAAAATTGTGAGAATAAATAGATTCTTCGTTGTATAAGAGATTTTTAAATATTCTATTTATAAATAGAATTTGATAAATTATAAATAATGCAGCTATTACATAATTATTTAATCGTATGATTATCTTGCTAACTTTATCATATTACGTTCTTATTACGTTGAATAATATATTTCGCTTTAGACTGTCTCTATTGTTGTCAGAACCGAAGTGTTTGTATATCATAGGTATATATTGTTGCGCTGTTTAAAGGACGAAGATTACAGCGGTATTCAATTTAATGTTATTGATGCAAATGTATTGAAATGTATTGAAATTTCATTTTTGACATGGACTCATCTTGCAACATCGAGTGCAGGCGACACTCTAGTAAAGACTAAACACGTTGCACATATTGATAAACAAATATTTTTAGATCGATATGCGGCTTCTTATCTGTATGCTTTTTCAATTTAATTAATTTTTAATTCAGATAACAAATATCAAGACAGATTTGGAAATGTGTTTTAATAAATAGGAGAATTCTTAATTATACTTCAGTTTCTGTTGTTACCTGATGTTTACTACATCATCTTAAAATCATCATAATATATGATATAATAATATTACACGAACATGCCATGAAGAAATAGACTTTAAGGCTCAGTTTCACAATTCACGGTTAATTTTTAATCGAGGTTCAACTTCTTTCTCATCTCTTTCCAATTCTAGCCCTAGAAAGAGATGAGGAATAAGTTAAACCTCGATTAAGAGTTAACCATGAGTTGTGAAACTAAGTCTAAGAGTATTTTCTTTAACTTGAAAATAAAGATTTAAACCGGTTTCTTTTATATGATACTTCTTTCTTAAATTCTTTTTGGACTCTAAATTCATTAGTTATAAATTAATCTAATTCCCACTGAAATCCTCAATCCGTTTTATCCTGGCAATAGAATTTAATATCCCGTCTCTATTCGAAATATAGAAATATATAGAGATCTTGAGGATCGAAGCAATAGTAAAATGAGCATAATCAAACGTATTTCTATCATTTTCAATTTTTTAGTTCTATACTGTATTAAGTGCTTTAGTGAAAAATTAATCATTACCTAAATAATACTGATACATAATTTTTTAAAATTATCCTATTTATATACAAAATATAAATTATGTAACATATAAATGTTATGTAATAATATTTTTAACAAACTTCTATATCAAATTTCTGCAAGAAAATCGAAAGCATATTATAATAGAAAACTTTAAAAACATATTGAATTGTGAATTTATTGTAATGAGAATTATAATAATTATGATTATAATTATAATTATAATCTAGCGAGTGCTAAAATACTTTTAGGCAAATTCTTTTGCTAATTATTGTGTACTTTGAACTTCACAGAAAATTATCGTCCGCTGTAATGAATGTAATCTAATTAAGTAGTATTGCGAAATCGCTAATTACAAGTTTGTTGTCTGCCTTTTTTTTATTAGGAGATTTGAAAAATTACAACTTATCAAATTGTTTAGTCTGGAAAG